CTGAAATGACAGTTTGCTGACCAGAGTGTGGATGACCCCAAAGCAGCAGCACTGGAGTCTTCACTCAGCACAGATGATGACATCCCCATGTCCACAAACTCAAGAGTTAATACATTTTAACCTTCCCCAGCCTATATCCTCTAGCATCTCCCTAGACCAATAGATGCAAAAGGGCAGAAAATAATGTTCTTTAGCTAGCTATTCTGTTGATGATATTCAAATTGTCCAATTATCGTCCTTGTAAGTCTTCACCTTTTTTAAGACTATATTAGCTTTGTGAAGAATTTTTATTTCTGACAACAAAAATTTCCCAACAAATCTTGAGCATGTGTTTGTTTGTGTTTCCCGTCCTAACCGTCTTTAGTTAAAAGAACCATGACTCATGGTGAACAGTATTATGTATGCACACACACACACACACACACACACACACACACACACACACAAATGGTCACAAGATAGTGAATAAAATACTATTGGATAGACCATTTTTGTTGTATTTTGGTTCACAAATCATACTACTGAATCCTATCTTTTTGTTTTGTTGTTTATTTTTGTTTTTCAAGACAGGATTTCTCTATATAGCACAGGCTGTCCTGGAACTCACTCTATACAGCAGGCTGACCTCAAACTCAGAAATTCACCTGCCTCTGCCTCCTGAGTGCTAGAATTAAAGGGTTGTGCCACCACTGTCCAACCTGAATCCTATCTTATTCTTTATCCCAAAGACATTCTATTCCATTTACATGAACTTAATACCCCTGTCCCAACTCAATTAGCCTAAGACCCTTAGGGGAATGCCTGTAAAACCACAGTATTGTTGTAGAATAATCTTTTTGTACACTGTGAAGATGTGTCTTTGCCAAGACCCCTTCTTATTGGTTTAATAAAGAGCTAAATGGCCAATAGCTAGACAAGAGGTATAGGTGGGATTTTCAGGGACAGAGAGAAATCTGGGAAGGAGAAGAAAGGGGAGGCACAAAGAGAGACATGGAGCTGGGCGGTGGTAACACACGCCTTTAATCCCAGCACTCAGCAGGCAGAGGCAGGCAGATCTCTGAGTTTGAGACCGGCCTGGTCTACAAGAGCTAGTTCCAGGACAGGTTCCAAAGCTACACAGAGAAATCCTGTCTTGAAAATCCAAAAAAACAAAAGAAAAAGAGAGAAGGAGAGAGAGAGAAGGAGAGAGAGAGAGAGAGAGAGAGAGAGAGAGACGTGGAACAAGTGGGACACACAAAATAGAATAGAGGTAAAAACCATGTGGTAGAATGTAGTTAATAAAAATATAAGTTAATTTAAGTTATAAAAGCTAGTTAAAAACAAGCCTAAGATAAAGGCCAAGTTTTCATAATTAATAATAAGTCTCTGTGTATTTACTTGGGAGCTGGATGGTGAGACAGAAAAAGACTCACTACACAATACAAGTCTATTGTCACAAGTTTATTGACCCATGCCAATGAGAAAATGTGACCATAACTGGAATCACTGGATATCTTCAGAAGAAAATGAAAGGGCATTTTTACATGATTTAAGGAAGTATAAGCTTTCATGACTGCACAATATTTTTAGTAGACTGAGAGTGGGATTGTAGGTAAAAAATGTTATTGTATAGCAGTTTCCTTTGAATTGAAATATTGGGGTTAGGGAGGGCTTGCTTTCATGAGACTCAGAGGTAAACAAAAGGTCACATATCTGGGAGGACAGAAAAGGGAAATATTCTCCAGGATCTCCAGCTGTACAAAAAGGAGTAAACAACAGGCTTGGGTAGGAGACTCTGACCAGCCTAGTAACAGGGAAAAGAAATGTTCAGACTTTTGAGCTGCCTGCAAGCTGAACAAAGATCTCCAGGGTTGCAATTTTCATGAGTCATGCTGGGGTGAGCTTTTCAGTAAAGAGATGCAGTTGTTCTTGAGTTGTTCCTTTCGCTTGTGAGTAGACCCTCACTCATTCTTGTTAGCAACTCTTAAGTATTCATAGGTTCGCCAAATAGGATACTGCTGCAATTGTTGCTATAGTCTGCTATGGATTCTCTGTGTGGGGTTAGTAGTCATGCATGTTATTCATGTCTCCAGGAAATATCTGTCACACAAGTCCTATCTAGTTACCATAGAGGTGGAATGTTGTGTTCAGGGGCCCTGAATGAGGCCTTTATGCCTCTGCTAGATATTGATGCTGTTCCTCTGTACCAAAGTGACTTAGAGCTTTCATTTAAAGAATAGAGTAAGTATCCCATGCTTGCTGACTTAACTTATCAAATTCTCTAACAGTGAGCAACTTTAAAAAAAAAAACAGGTTTTCAGTAAGCTAGAAGATATGCAAACACGGTTATTCTTACACTTTCCAGTTTCATCCTGTCTGTCCTTGGCAGAAATATTTCTTGTTAACTTTGTAGCTGTCTTTGTGTTTATTGTACCAACCAAATTAGTGTTGAAATAGATACTTAAAATCTGAGTCCGAGTTATTTTTTACTTTCCTACTCTGCATTATTTGAAGATTTCATGGGACATAATCACTTATTATATTTCACATATACCTATCTTTACATACACCCCTGTAAAAAGCACCATGTCACATGTATTAATGACTATTCAAGGTATCAAGCAGCTATCATTATTATTATTGCTGTCATTATTTGAGATGTTAATGATATTTCTGATTGTAACTAGGGAACTGTAGTATTTTCCTTGGTCCTGCTTATTTCTATTTCTGTTTAAGCATGAGTCATTGTGAAGTCTAAAAAAGGAAGCTCAGCATATCCATAATATAGTAGATATTATATCACTATATTATAAAAGAATTTCTATTCAATGGCAATAAAAGTATGAACTTAAAGGGGAAAAGTGTGTAGATAAATAGTTAAATGTTAAAGGAGTTATTAAGTTCAAATATGGTAGATATATAATAACTAGTTAAATATTACAATGTTTATAGTATATAGTTAGCAATAAAGAATATCTATCTATACAAAGTTTGCAGGATTGCTCAGTGGTAAAGGCACTTGCTACAAAAAGCTGGCCACCTGAATTTGAACCCCAGAACCCACATTAAAAGTAGAAGGCAATAACCAACTCCACAAAAGTTGTCCTCTGACCTCTACTGCTGGGAAACAAACTGAGGTCATTTGCAAGAACAGTATTAGCTCTTATGCTGGGCCACCTCTCCACCCCCAGACCCAAGTGAGCTTTTGATACTAAAAGTTTGGCTTTCCAAGTTGTACTTCCTATTCTTATTCATTAGTCCATTCTAACCCCCATTTTAAGATAACCCTAGTTCTAAAATAATTCCAGTTCTAAGATAACCTCAGTTCTAATATAACCAGTTCTAAGATAATGGTGGCTTATGTTTATGAATTTTGATGAGAGATAACTGAAAAAAAAACAAAACTCACAAGCATGAATTCTTAAAGGTTAATAAATTCTATAATGGCCCAACCCATCCTATCCTCCATGCCTTGTCTTAACAGCCAGGCTGTCATTAACATCATTTTTAAATTTCAGGTATATATAAAAATCATGACAAGGTATGTTTGAAGTTCACCTTTATATAATACCTGTAGAAAATAGATTTCAAGATATATTAATGTTATAAATAACATTTAACCTAAACAGAAAACGAATTACATCAGCACATTTCTGTTGCTGTTTTTCCTCTGGAAGACTGATTGGCTCATGGGCTCCATCATTGCCCTGGTTGTCACCTCATCCCTAGGGTTCTCATCCTTATCTGAGAGGAGTAAGTGACACAGGCCATCTTTTCTCAAGCTCCAGTAGATACCCACAGTATTATCAAAGAACTGGGTGTTGGGAAAGTCTCTAGCTTTGTTCAAAAGAAAGTAGAAGTGTTGGCTTTTGACCTTCAGAGGCAGCAAAGCAGGAATGTCACCTCTGTGGGCAATACAAGAAACCTGGTTTTAGGGAACAGTAAAAGGGGCTTAGTCAAGCCAAAGGGGCCATGAATGGTGAGTGTCACCTACTGCCCCCTAGATAGGAGCACAACTGGAAACACAAGTCAGAGAGACCAGCAAAGACAAAGGCTCTTTTTTTTTTTTCTGAGACAGCATCTCATATTCTATGTTGGCCACATGTTTGCTATATGTCCAATGACAACCTTGAGTTTGTGATCTTCCTGCCTCCACTGCCCAAATGCTGAGATTACATCTGTGTACCAACATGCACAGTTCATGCAATGTTGGGGACTGAATCCAAGGCCCCATGCATGCTAGACAAGTATTCTACTAATTGAGCCATATGCCTTCCCATCCAAAAAGAAAAAGAAAAAAATATCGCCTCTGCAAAGAAAAATAAATGTGCCAAATATAAATGGCCCCCCTTCTCCTATTTCTTCTGCTAGTTCCTTTCATCTGGGAACTTTCTTGCCCATTAGTTGGTATTAGAAGTATATAAGAGTAATACAACTATACCCCTAAAGTGTAGTAATTCACAGAAACCCAACACACAGCCACTTATGGATCAAATAAGGCTGAGGAGTCTGAAGTGGGAGGCCTCTGTGCCAAGGCTTTGGGTTAGACAATAGACAAGTTGAAAGGATCAAGTTGGAATGCCAGCCAGTGTTACCAGATATTTTGATTTTTTTCCCTCAAGGAATCTGCAATCCAGGTATAAATATCAAATCTTCAGGTTTTAAAAGGCGGAATGTGGATGCTGGCTTTAAATGCTCAGTAAGGCTCATTGTATTGAAATATGTGTCAACATTGAACAGCTAATGAGTAGAAAGTACTGTGTTTTAGAATAAGTGTTAATGTTTAACATTCTGTCGAATTTTAGAAATAGCCTCTATTCCAGTGATAGCCATCTTATACTGTTAATCTAACTGGCATTACAATTTCAATCTAAATACTGCTAAACTTTTTCTAAAAGATAAAACAAACACATGGACAGAGTTTTGTTTGTCATTTTTAATAGAATAAGAAATGTGCTTCAGAGATTGCTTTTAGGTCTTTATAGCATTCAGGCAAGATATAGGGCTCCAATACACATTCACATGAGCAACACCTGTGTCATGGCCACAACATTAACTATGTAAACACGCAGTACTTTGGACGCTTTCTCATACTTCCTATTCAGGAGCAGCTTCCTTTAAAATTCCATCTCTAGGTTTCGTCCACTGCTCTGGTTAAGTTTACCTTTACCCCATGGGTTGTTTGGCTTTGTCCCCCACGAAGACCAGCTATGAAAATCTGGGGCCTGGGCACCCGAGAGCTGCCTTCTCTCTTGGACTGGGTGCTAACATCTTTCAAAGGGTACACCTGTGAGCTGTTATCTCTTCTCATGTGACTAAGGTCAGTTTGTACGGAGTGAGTAATTTTCTGGCGCAAATTAGCCTATGTAGAAAGAGAAAATCGGGATTAATATTTCTCTAAAAAATAAACAATATAAAAACATTAATAGGCATTTAGTTAACATTTGCCTCTTATTTTCCCATTCTACAAATAAACATTACATTTTCTACAGAGGTGGTGATAACGGTGAATATGGTAGCATGAGCATGTGTATGATATTGTTGCATGCCATGTGTGCATTTGGGAGTCAGAGGAAACTCCGGGTGTTAATTCTCCCCTGCTGTGGTAGGTTCAGGAGTCTGAACTTAGCAGCTTGCCTGGCAACTTTCTGAATTATTCTGATGAACCAAATATCTCATTTTTTTCTATAAAACACTGGAATACTAAAAAAAATCAAGAGCAGAATAAGAAATTGAGAATTCTTTATGAAGCAGGAAAACATGAAATGCTGAAAGTGAGCTCAGTGGTGTAACTCAGTGGTGGCTGGGTTGCATAGCACATGGAAAGCCTTGATTTGATCCTTGTCCCACAAGGAAACAGGAGAGGATAAGAACTAATAAGATTCTGGGAAAGGGTAAGAAAAAACACCAGTGGGTACTAGAGCATATGAGTAAAGGAGGACAGACCAAATTATTTCAGAGTTTGGACCATCAGCAATGCAAATCTCTTCCCTGCAAAGGCCCAGCATTTGGTCTACATTAATAAGCTTTTATCTTTTCATTATTTCTGGTAGCATAATTTTACTATCCCAAGACAGTTGTTACATAAGCAAGATTTTTGTGCTGGGAGTAGAACCCGGGCCTCCCCTATGCTAGGCAAATGCTCCACCACTGGCTTATACCCCAGCTCAGGTCAAGCAAGTTCCTACATTGTCCATTACAAGACATTCTGAAAGATGCATTAACTTGTCAGCAGTAAGCACCAATGCACAGTGAGGCCCCAAGATTTCTTGTATCCTTTGCCTTAAAATCTTTCTCTATTCTGCCCACCAGTGCTGGTGCTTTTCTGCTCTGTTTTTCTGCTCTGCTTTTCTGTTCTGCCTCAACACACTTGAAATTCTCAACTAATTCTAAATGTATTTTCCCCTCTCTGAATCACAGCCAAATGTTGGTTGAGGAGAAGTTCCCTATATACCTTAGCTGCTGCTTGTAAGTTTCATGGTCCCACCTCCCATTCCAAGTAGGCACACTGGGGTTGCAACTGTTTTTGTATGTTTGTGTAGGTTTGGGGCACCCAATCTCAGATCTCTAGGCTTGGGTAGTCTTCCCCTACTGGGCAGCCATCTCCACAGCTCTCCTTGCCTGCATTTTAAGACTGCCATGCAAACTCTGTTCTTATTGAGTAATCTTGTTTACTTCACACAAGAGTTCAGTGGAGTGGTGGGTAAAATAAATTAAGGCTACAGGCATATGCTACAAAACTTCCCCTCCTGTGTTTTTGTTGGGTATTCTGTGATTGCTACGAGCAAAGTAACTAATAAGTGAATTTACTTGTCCCTCTACCTTCTTATTCAGCAAAGGCCCCTGGCATAGTAAATATACTAATACATTAAATGATAAGATACTATAAAAAAGAGGCAAGAGGGGAATTCCACTGAGTAGGATATGGATGAGAGCTTCGAAGACAGGCTTTAAGGGTCGGCACCTGTTACAATTAAAGTGACCCAGAATCCACAAGATGAGAAAGCACAGTGTAACAGAAGGGGAAAGGCACAGGGTACAGAACTGTAATCCCAACACTCAGGAGGCTGAGTTTAAGACATGAGCATGTTGAATTCCAGGCCAGTTTGGGCTACACAGCACAAACCTATGCTAAAGGGTGCAGGGGTGCTACAGTATCTATAGTATCTATGATTTCAAAGAAAAGGTTAAAAAAAGAAATGGGAGGAATGGAGTGTGCTGTTGCTGGTGGGTTGTTTGTTTGTTTTTTGGTAGAGTGGTTTAACTTGGGGAAGCTAGGCAAGTGCTCTACCACTAAGCTATGTATGCAGACTTTAATATACAACACACACACACACACACACACACACACACACACACACACACACACACACACACACGAAATCTTGTCATAGATTCTTGCTAAGCTCTTCAGGCTGCTCATGAACTCACCCTTTGACCTAGGCAGGTCTCAGACTTTCAGGTAGCTGGAAGAGCATGCTTGTGTCACCAGAGCTGAGGAAAGGGAACTCTTATATATTTAAGATTTATTCTGTTTTTATTTATGTATATGTATCTGTGTATATGTGTTTGAGGGCTTGCAAAGGCCAGAAGAGAGTGCCAGATCCCCTGGAGCTGGCAACCTGAGCTGCCCAAGTGGCTGGCAATGAACCTAGGTCCTCTGAAAAACAATGGCAAGTGCTTTTAGACACTTAGCCATCTCTCCAGCCCAGAAAAATGGTTTTCAAACTACGAAATAAATGATAACCACCATTGTTTAGTAACTGGCTGGTATTGCTAGAGAGTGAGTATATGCTTCCATATTTCTTGTTTTGGCCGGGGAGGGATGAGGGGGGTATGAGATAGGGTTTCTCTGTGTGGCTTTGGCTGTCCTGGAACTCACTCTGTAGACCAGGCTGGAACTCACAGAGATCCGCCTGCCTCTGCCTCCTGAGTGCTGGGATTAAAAGAGTGCACCACAAATGCCCGGTGATTCTTCCATATTTCTATACAGGTTTAAAATTAGAAGACAACCTTACAATATATGAAGCCAGCAAGTTACATATCATGCTAATTACTTTTATGTCAGCAGAGACCTGTGTAGAACTTATTACATTTATATAAACTATTTAACTTACCAACTGTGTGGGTAACAACATCAAAATTCCCCACCTTTGAGCAATTTAAAAAAGTACTGTTACAAACCAGTTTTATGGCTTTTCTTCTTAATTCCCATTCATTCCACTCGTAGGATCTCACGGTAGTTGGTGGCAGTAAGTGTGTATCTGTCTGTGTGCTATTTTCACATTTCATAATTGGTTTTATATAATGCTTGTCAACATCTCTCATCTAAAGAAATGGAGATTTGTAATTAGTACTTATAAAAAATAAACATTATATATAGATAACTGAAAATAATTTAGCTAAAACTGTCAAAAGACTAGCAAAATATTTTTGGAACATGGAATATGCTTGTAAATGCCAGCAAAGAAAAGCCTGTAATCAGTAAGCCAAATGCAGTTGTGTTCCTGCACAGTCTGTCTTTATTCATGACTTTGTGAACTTAATGTGGTAGAGTATTTTGGAAGGGAAAGACATCGAAGATTACCAAATATTCAAAACATCAAAGATTACCAAATATTCAAATGTCTTTCCCTACTCTTCAAAATTGGTAGTGTAAGTGGAAATAGAAATTATAACTAGTAATTAAATATTAGATATAAATCCCATCTATTTAACTGTCCTCAGGATGTGTTTTGAACTTGAACTATGCATCTATAACAGATTATCCAAAGTCTTGTTTCTTGTCTGTTTTTTCCCCAAGGACCCCTGATATTAAGTATTAGGAATTACAGGCTAAAGAACAATTGATAATGTTGTGTTTGATGTTAGAGATAGTTGGAAGGGAATTAAAGTCATAGTAAAGAGGAGGGAAAAGACAGTAACTTCCAATAATTATAATTTCTTATGGTGTGGGGAGGGAAGGTGGGGAAAAGCACAATGAAAAGATAATTAACACTATTGTACAATAGAACTAAGTGGTAATTAAGTAAGACTGTAAGGAAGACAGAGGGAGAAACCCCATTTGCATAGGTAACTGAAGGTCCCAGAAGAACTGCTGTGGATTAAATAAACACAAAGGAAAAAGAACCCAGGTGCATAGGTAAAAACTGTGTTTCAATAGGAAACTATGCTTTGTCTTTGGAGGATACACCTCTCTGCTTATATAAATCTAAACTTTCACTGTCTTTAGCATCTTGCATCTCTGAGCTGCAACTAACAGAGTAAGGACAAATAGTTTTTGCCTGTACACATCTAAAGTCTATCTGCTCTTTCCCTCTGTGGGAAAACAAATACATTTGTCTTTATTTGCACATTTATTTGAATATTTTAGGTGCACGAATGTGTCTGTCAGGATTCTTCCTCTTTTTGGTTTGGAGGGGTTTGACACAGAGTCACATCCTGCATCCCAGGCTGGCTGCAGACCTGCATTCCTCCAGCTTTGGCCTCCTGAGTCCCAGGATCCTTGCAGTGTGCCATCACTCCAAGCTTAGGATGTTCTTTTAAACCAGTGCTAAATCTACGGCTCCCTCACTGACTGATGATTGATCATACTCTTTAACACATACTCATTTTTATACATGCATGAGCATAATGATTTCACCCACTTAAAAAGTTATCTTCTAACAGAAGATGATCTGGGCAGGTAGAACAAGTCCAGAACCAGGATATTAATTTATTGTTTTCTGACATTGAGAAGTCATAGCTGGGAATTAGCAGTAAAAGGACAAAACAAACAACAACAAAAATGACTGTATACATCTTGAACTCCAGGCCAAGATTTTACAAAAATCAGAGTAAAATGGTGAAAGTATTTGTTATTTTGAATTTGTTATTTGTATTTTGAATGATTGGTTCCTAACATATTTTTTCTAAATTAGCATTTTTGTATATTTCATTGAAAATAAAACTGCATGTGCTAAGCTTAAGATAACAATCTTTATAATAGTCATAAAAAAGAACTGATACCCAGGGAATCTATAACTTGAAATTTTGAGATCCATTGATTTGAGAAAACTAATTTAATGATAACTTCAAGAATGAACATATCAGTGAGGAGACCTCAGAAATCTATGGGGCCTCTCATAGTAGATCAGTACTTATCCCTAGCACAGGAATGCACTTTGGAAGCCCATTCCACATGGAGGGATGCTCTCTGAGCCTAGACAGAAGGGGGTTGGCCTGGGGGGCCAAAGGATATGACAGACTCTGAGGACACCCTATGGAAGGCCTCACCCTCCCTGGGGAGGACAAAGGGTATGGGATAGGTAGGGTGTTAGTTGGGAGGGGCAGGGGGAGAGGGGAGGGAGAGGGAACTGGGATTGACATGTAAAACAATCTTGTTTCTAATTCAAATAAAAAAATGGAGAAAAAAATGAACATATCAATAGGGCCACAAATAGCTTTAAGGCTTTTTATAATTCTCATAACTCAAAAACTAAATATATATAAATACATTATAAATTATGTATATACATAAATACATATATATTTACATGCTTTTAAAAAGATTTTTAACATTTTTAGTTGTGTGTGTGTGTGTGTGTGTGTGTGTGTGTGTGTGTAACACATC